GCCACATTTTGCCCAGTCCTGCTCTAAGACAACTGAATTCTTTAGGGACTAGCAATTCACAAAGCACACGGAAGTCAGAACCAAACATTTGTGACATAACTGTTTAGTCTATGAAACAAATTTTCAAAGAAGATTAATGTAATCCAGAGCTTGACAGCCCTGAAGGGCTTTCCTATTTGATAAGGTTTTTCAGAATATCTGCAATTGCCAAATACTCCCAAGGAAACGCTACCTTCAAGAGGAGCTTCCTATGACTAGAGGAATGAGAACTCAACTCAGTGAAGCCCTCTAAGGATTCCATTATGCTATCAAATTACCCTGGGGAACACTTGAGTTAGGCAGCACTGGGCACCAGAGAAAACTTGAGAGAGCTAAAAGCTGTTATCAAACCTGCCAGCCACTGTCAGTTAAAAACTTTTTGCTCTAAAAATGCAAAGGATCTTTCTCAGGGTGGTCTTTTATGAAAAGGAGTGTGTATGGATGGTAAAAGATAGTACCGAAGGGCTATTTCCTTCCCCACCAGTTTCTGATACTATCGGGAAGATCTTTGGAAATCATCTGTAAATTCTCACATTGTGGCATGTCAATGAAAAAGAATAAAACCATAATGATAAATCTATTTTGTGTTTAGAACTATGCTAACTTGCTGTTGTGGCTTTTATTTAGGTATATGCAAAGCATTCAAGTTAGTTGTTAGCCAGTATTGTTAACATGTACAGACTTGTATGTACTATACACATTTAGGACTAGTCTAAATAGATCTGTTTACCAACTGGTATAAGGTGATTCAAGCCCATTGTAAAGGCATAGTTATACTGGCATAAATGCATTTATATTGTAGTAAAGCTTATTCCCATATATTTCCAAAAATAAGCATTAGCAATATAAATACCTCTTCTACACTAGGGAGATGCATCAATGTACCTATGTCCATTTGTACACCAAAGCAGTTAAAGCCATGCAAAAACTGGGTTTAAGCCAGGTTTTGCATGTAGACTATGAAAGCATACTAATCCAGTTCCCAGAATCATTTAATTTTTATTAAAATATTCTTCCCAATCAACACTTCACACCAGCAGAAAGTGTGCAGAGCTCTGATGCAGTTTGACAACAATATAATCCCAGCATGCAGCAATCTCTTTACTGCACACTTAGGAAACAGTGGGCATGTCTACACGTTCACTAATGCACTTTAGGTAATGTGCATTAAATCTAGTACCTCCACTGTGAAGTACTAGAAAATGTGCATTAGCCTATTTGAATGCACATTAGCAAATGAGCATATTTTTGTGATGCTTTAATGCACATTAAAATAGGATGAGCATTAAAGTGCAAGTATAGATGCGCCCGGTATGTATACTCAGCAATAAATGCCCAGTGTTTTATTTCCATAGGAAAACAGAAAGGTTCAATGTTAAGGTGAGGGGGGCAGATGTGATGCTAAGATAGTGGTTCTCAACTGGAAACCTGTGAGATCCTTTCAGGAGTGCTATGACATGGTAGTACTACCACTGCTTTATTAAATATCATGCCAACTATACCAAAAGGAAAGAGATAGATAGTAAAGTCATTTTCAAAAACCTTTATTGGTATTTTAAAGTAGTCAATGACACTTTGAATTGCTTGAAGTGAGAAAAGTGAGCATTATTAAAGGGCGAAATAGAGGTTTTCTTCAAACTGTATCTTTACAATGCCAAAGGAGGTTGCTAAAGAAGCAAAAACTCAATGTGCTGTGAACATATTAGGTTAATTTGACAAAGAATGTTATTAATTGTATATTAATTCTAAGAGCAGGGGGGAATAGGAAATATGGAAATATTAATCAATGAGAAATTTCAAAATCACCAGTGCATATGATTTATATGATTGAAATAGTAAAATTACCGGTTTCAGTCTATTTAGGAGGGATAGTGTAGCTAAAAGCAACTGGAGTGATGCAGTTTGTTCTAAGGAAATCATTACCTGCTTCAGAATTTTTGCTAACTCAGCACCACAGAATACGGACTACAGTGCATATGATCAGTAGAGCTCTGGAAGTGTTATTGTGTAGATATGGGCAAATCTCTCTCACCAAAGTTGATGTACCCAGTATAAGAAAACTCGACTTTGGATCTTACGATGATAGAAAAAGAGAAAGTCACCTCAGGACTGAAAGGTGAGAGTTATCGAGAGATCAAGGATGATGGTCTAATCTTCAATATCAGCCAGTAGTTCCAACAGATAATACTCATATTTGGTGCTTCTAAAAGGCTAATAATAAGTAAAATAATAAGCAAAGGAAAATAAGCAAAACTGACTAGAAAGAAAAGTTTGGACAGAAAAAAATGAATTAAAATTCAACAGGTTTTTTTTTTTTAAGGATCTTACTAGCTGTCTAAAAATCTGCAATCAGGTAAGTGAACTTTTTTTGGCTAATAGTTCATCCTAGCTCACTCGCAAAGGTAGTTAGCTGCTATACATACCTTGTATTGAGCCATGTAGATATGTGGGGGTGAAGGACACGCACACACGACTCAGAACACAGTTTTTCACATGCACATAGTTTCCCAGTTCCCCCTATTGAGCAGCATTTTGATTTCTGCCCGCTCCTGCTACCAAAACAATGCTCTAGTTTCATCCTCAAAATCTAAAGCACACATGAGTTCTCCCAGCTTTATGCTGTGCCTATACTCCTGCCAGCTGCTCCGTCCTCCAGTTCAGTGGCTCTCAACCTTTTTCTAGGCTCAAGGCACCCTTTGGTAAATACCAGCTCTGGGCTTTGACTGAAGTTTGACTGAAGAAAAATCCTGGAACCGTTCTTCTGCGTGCACCGTGCTCAGAACAACCCCAAGGGGCAGCATGCTTTGGACCTGTGGATTCCTATTTGAAAATGTCTCATGCCTGCCTTAAGGTGCACTCTTGATGGGATCTCATGGCACCCCAGGGTGCTGCGACCCCCCCCTTGGATGAGACCTGCAGAGGAGGAGCGTCACAAAGAAGCAGATGCACCAGGCCACCACAGGAATGGACCTGAAGAGAGAAGGGAGCCTGCAGTACCCTAACAGGATCTCAAGGCACCGCAGAGTGCTGCACCGCCCCCCCGCAGCTGAGACCCACTGCTGGGGGTCATGAAGGAGTAGATGCAGGAGACAACACCTGAAGGGAAAAGGGAGCTCACAGCACCCTTGACAAGACCAAGGCACCCCAGGCTGTTGTGGCCCCTCAGCTGAGACCTGTGGCAGGCCGTATGGAGGAGATGCCCTGGGCAACCACGAGGATGGATCTGATGGGGAAAGTGTGAAGAAGGAAGCCGGGACGGGGGAACGAGGAAGGAGAAGGAGAAAGTGGGAAGCAGGAAAGGGGGAAGGAGAAGGGGAAAGGGGGAAGAAGCAAACGGGAAAGGGGAAGCAGAAACGGGAAAGAGAACGCGAAGAGGAAATAAACGAGAAAGCGGGAAGGGGGAAGCGGGAAGGGGAAGGCAGGAAAGTGGGAAGGGGAAGCAGGAAAGCGAAGGGAGAGCGCCGGCGGTACCTGTAGAAGTAGTGGCCGCCGAAGGTGGCGCAGAGCAGGCGGCAGCCCAGCGGCTCGAGGCGGGGCGGGCCGCGCAGCGCCAGCAGCAGGGCGGGCAGGACGAAGGACGGCAGCTCCAGCGC